GAGCTGGAGCCCCTGGTTCCCCCTCCCTGAGCTGGGGTTCCCCCTCCTTGAGCTGGGGAGCCCCTGGTGCCCCTCCCTGAGCTGGAGCCCCTGGTGACCCCTCCCTGAGCTGGGGAGCCCCTGGTACACTCTCCCTGAGCTGGGGAGTCCCTGGTACCCCTCCCTGAGCTGGGGAGCCCCTGGTGCCCCCTCCCTCAAGATGAATATTTGAGTGGCAGAGGGCAGGCACAGAGAACAGAGTGTGAGACAAGAGCCTGTCACTGTGGCTGCAAGCGGGGCTGAAGGAACAGCCACGTGAGCGAGCTCCGCACACCAGGTGTGCGGGACAGAGAGAGGCCCTTTCTGGCTTATGCTGTGCGCCAGATGGGAAGGTGTCTCCTTCAATCCTCAGACTCTGTTTTAGACCAACTTTAGGGACCGGGAAACTGGTAGAGGGCACAGGGTCACGTCGGGCTGGAAATGTAAGTCCAGGTTTTGTGGCTTTCTCACTGTGACTGCGCACAGGCCGTCTCTCCTCCGTAAACTGGAATGGTGGCTACGTCGCAGCGTGACGTTGCGAGTGTGTGACTTACAGGCAAAATGCAGAATGGAGTGCCTGTAGGTGCGATTGTCGTTTTGAGCGATGGGGATTTGCTGTCTCTCCACGGCCCAAGCCTGACCCTCGGGTCCCCCCTTCCAGTCACGAAGCCTTTCTTCTCCCACAACCACGACCAGAGAAGTTTCATTGCCCTGGTGCCTGTGATCTAGGGACGTGAAATTCCCAACCTGGCCTGAATGAGTTCGTGTTCTCTAAAACCGAAGAATGAATTTTAGGAACAAACGGAGGCTGAAGGTAAAACTTTATTAGAAAGGAAAGCTTCTGTCGGAGAGGGGAAGAAGGGGGTCCCGAGCGGGTTGCCCAGGAAGCTGTCTCTTTCAGGTTATTTTATAGGACAAAACTATGCAGGGCTAAGGTAGAGACAAAGGGGTCCCGCTTAGGCAGATACAGGGTGGGACAAAACTATGGTCAACCAATGGGATTACAAGCACCATTGCTTAGGTAAAATTTATTAGGCCTAGGACTAAATGGGGTAGCGAGTCACGTAGCCAGCGGGCGACCTTATCTGGTGGCCTTCAGTCAATGATTCTTTCTGACTAATGAGCAATCCTGGATGCCAACTTTAGGGAGGTCAGCATTTGTTTGATCTTTAGGTCTGGCTCACACCAGGAGCATCTCCCCAGTAAGGTGTCTGGTCTTTGTCATCCCCTTTGAGGGCCCGTCCCTGTCTAACTACCTACACTATTTCTAACTCAGGCTGCCTGCAACACCTGAGGCTGGTGCTGTCTGCAAGGAGACGCAGCACTTACAACGCAACTGGGGTGGGCTGATCGTGGCCGCCACGAAGTCCACACACGAAAGTCCCGACCACATATTGCAGAATGTTATCTTGTAATCTTATTAGAGACGGAGCCACTGCTGATGCAGTTAAGATTGAACCACAGTGGAGTGGGGTGGGTGCCTCCCCCAGCATGGCTGCGATCGCAGTAAAGGGGAAATCGAGGCACAGACAGACACACGGGGAACCTTGCAAAGACTGGAATCTATGCTGCCGTAAACACTGAAACTGTCAGAAGCAAGAGGCCTGGAACAGACTCTTCCTGATGCCTTCAGGAGAACACAGATGTGCTGGCACCTAGATCTCGTACTTCAGCTTCCAGGACCGGGGACTGCACACTTTTAGTCTTTCTGCCACTTGGTCAGTGGGACCTTTTTATGGACGACACCAACACAAGCACCGCAGCACAGCAGCTGTCTGAGATGTCCCGACTGAGACTCGCTGCTGCAGAGGCTGTGGCCGATGCAGTCTCGCTGGGTGTGGCACGGAGCTGGCCAAAGCAGAGCTTGTCAAGCCTTTGTAAACTGAGTGCTTTTAAATAACCTGACACCAATTTTTACTCACATACATTGTTAGTCCATTTTGTTACGGTAATGAAATACCTGAAACTGGATAACTATGAAGAAGTTTATTTTGGCTCCGCATTTTGGATGTGCAAGGTCAAAGGCCATATCTGATGATAGCCAGAGTTCCAAGGTGACCCAGAGCATCATGGGAGAAGAGACAGAGCTCACCAGTGAGTATCTCTTCTGTTATCTCATTCTCCTAACAAAGAACTAGGATTCAGTAGTGCAGGTTCTACCCAGGCCCTTGGCTAATCCTAATCTCCTCCAAAGGGGAAGCTGGACTAATTGTCCGCCCTCCTGATACCTCACAGCAGGGATCAAATTTTGTTCTCTCAGCCCTATGGACACAACAATATCCCAGTGAGTTACCACCCAGACAAAGATGTGTGACATTCCCAGCCCTCAGGTGGCCCTTCTGTGCCCCTTCCCAGGGTAACCACTACTCTAACTTCTGTCCCCAACATGTGGTTTCGTCTGTTCTTGAACTTCATATAGATGGAATTATGCAACACACACTTTTAGTGTCTGGTTTCTTTTCTTGTTGTGCAGTTCAGGTTGGCCTTGAGCTCACTGGGTATCCCAGGCTGGTCTCGAACTCATGATCGTCCTGCCTCAGCCTCCTGAGTGCTGGGATTACAGGTGTGTGCCACCACACCTGGCTTGTCTGGTTTCTTTGGCCTGTAATTGTTCATGAGATTGATACATCTTATTGAATACAGTTCAGACTTTTAAAAAATTGATGTATAGTATGGCACTGAACAAATGTATTGAAATTTATTTGCCCATCCTACCACTGATGGGTACTTAAGTAGTTTCCAATTTGGGGGTTGTATAAATAAAACTACTATGAACATTCTGTATATGGATTTTTTTACTTTGTTTTGTTTGCTTGATTTTTTTTTTTTTTTTTTTTTTTTTTTTTTTTTTTTTTTTGGTGCTGGGATTGAACCTTGGCCCTGTATATGTTAAACTACTGAGCTACACCCCAACCTCAGTTTTGCCAAACATATGCACTCGTGTATCTTAGAGTAAAATTGCAGGCACATAGGGTAGGCATGTGTCTTACTGTAGTGGAAAGTGGCAAACAGTTCCCCAAAGTGGTTGAGCCTACTTACACTCTCATACCCACCCTGGTCCACCAACCTATGAGCAGTTCAGTTGCTCCATAGTGTGGTACCATCAGTAGCTAGCCATTCTGTGGGTGTGTAGTGGCATCTTATGGTGGCTTTAGTTTGCATTTCTGTGATAGTAAGGCTGTCGAGTACTTTTTAATGAATCTATTATCTATTTGTGCTTGAGGTTTTGTCCATTTAAAAGAAATTTTAATCCGTTATTTATGTGGTACAGGGTCTGCCTTTATGTAGCTCAGACTCAGCCTACTTATCTTCCTATCTCAGCCTCCCCAGGGCACGTAGGCCACGGAGCTATCTCCCTGTCCCTGTCCCTTTCTTTAAAGTTGAGAGATTTATACTTTCCTATTCGATTTGATGTTACATATTCTGGATTACTTTTTCCATGAAGTTTTGTCTCACTAAAAATGTATACGCGCATGTTTCAACGTATGTATAGATATGAATGTTCAGGTAGGCACTTAAGCTGCTGAGCTGTCTCCCCTAAATACGAACGTTCAAACAGTCACCATTGGATTGGGGATGCGATTCAGGGGTAGAGCACTTGCCTAGCATGTGTGAGGCCCTGGGTCCAATCCTTAGTACTGCCAGAAAACCATAACAGCCGCCAGTAAAAACAAAACAGGACAACAAAGTCACTTCGATCCTATTCATGAAAACAAAATAATGGCAAATGACACAATGTATGCCACATTCATTTCCTGCGGACATAGTGGAGCCGAGCTCAGAAGAGTTTCACAGAGCTGAGCGGAACATTCGCTCCGGCCTGGGCTCCGAGGCAGCCTGCAGTTCCGTTTGGCTGAGCAAGAGGGGGAGGGGCATGGAGGATGGACATTGCTGGCTTCTTCTTCCCCCACGTCAGGCTGACGGGCAATCGGCATTGGCCCACGGGTGGTGAGGAGCAGAGGGAGGCCCCATCTGACGGGCTTCCTGAGTGGGACCCTACGTTCTTTAGGAAGCTGTTTACCACGTGTATGTCATACGGCGGGTGTGGGGATCCGCAGCCTCATCCTGGGGGCGCCACAGCTAAGAAGAGTGAGACAGTCAAGCACAGGCCAAGGGCAGCAAGCGGCATCACGGAGGCTGCTACCGGGGCAAGGCTGGAAGCCCGCCTCTGCAGGGAGGTCTCAGCTCTGTGTGAGGCCCGCAGGACTCTTCCCCGTGGGGCTGATGTCACGGAGCTGAGAGTCCCCAGCGGAGGGTGGCAAGGACATTCCGGCAGCGAGCTTGGTGCAGGGCCCGGAGCAGCTATGTACTGCTGGAATGTAGGGTATGCTGAGGTGCAGGGCCGGAGAGTAAGGGTGGACCACAGGCCGCTGCACGCATGCTGCACAGAGCCTGCCCTTCCCGGCTTGCAGCGCGTCCTGGCGGCTGGAATGGAGAACCTGTGGGTCACAGACCTCTGTGTCCTCTGCACCAGGGCCGCAGTGAGCTCCCTGAGTGGTCCTTCTGGGGGCGGCCCCTTCTATTTAGAGAAGTCATCATTTCTGACCCCTCTCCATAGTTGCAGCTGTCTACAAAACAACCTGCCAGCTGGTTGCTTTAACAGGTGTTCGCAGGCGTCCCCTAGCGGGTGTTCGCAAGTGGCCCTAGCGGGTGTTCGCAGGTGTCCCCCAGCGGGTGTTCGCAGGCGGCCCCTAGCGGGTGTTCGCAGG